GACCCCCTTTCATGACATCAGACCAACCGAGGGTGGATTCCTTGCATTCCTCCCGCCAAACATGTCCAGTCGAAATCCAGGGTTCTTCTATCGAGGTTGACAACCGACGACTCCCCAGTAGCTCAAGACACCCTCGCTGAATCGCGTATCGCTCCTGGAAAACCAATCCAACATCGTCTTCGCCAACCATCAACTTCTACCACCTCCTTCCTTCAGGCCCCGATTTCAGATTTCATTTTCACGCCATATCAACACAACAGGATACATACCTCTCAGCTATGGTTGTCGGTCGTATTACACACTATGCGTTCGATCTTGCGTTGATATCAACCGTCCTTGCTGGAATTAAGCGTAATACTGGATACAGGTGAGCAATTTGGAAATTGCTCAGCGGCATTACTGGTGCTTATCTTTCAATCTATTAACTCTCACTATTTCGTTTAGCGTGAAACTGCAAGAGCTACCTGAAGGAGCTCCTCGAAGTTTTGCTTCTTCCTATCTTCAAGCCGGGGTAAGTGCCAATTTCACCTTATAAGTTTATTTTTCTTTTTCTCAACAAACAACATCAATGACTTGATCTGCTGTGTAACTAATTTGCACTGTTTTTTCTGATCAAAAAAAAAAAAAACATAATCTCATTGTCAAGGAAAAAATATTTGATTATGTCTCAGCCTACTCCCACACCTCTGGATACTTCCATCGAGACGCAGCTGAAGGCCCCGGAAAGGCTTCATGGGGTTGGGGTTCCAAGTAGGCATGCGGCTCGGCTGCTTCGGATGGCCATCCACTAGTCAGACTCAGATTGCTCCACTTGCGTTCTCGAGCCCTGAATGTGTGAATTTTTTCATATTCGATTTTCAAGCTTTGTATGATTGTTTTACTTGCTTAGTTAGATCAATTTCCCAACGGATACGCTATAGCTTCTTTCTTTCTCAAATTTGGCTTCGTAAACACCCAGCCTAGTGGCATGAGATCGCATCTTTTTTTTTCATCACAGCGCTTGTATCGTTTCCGCAAGATATCATTGAAAACCTCCGATAGACTGACATGTTCCGTATCAAACCAATCCTTACCAGGAAAGATAAGGTTGCTAGTCAAGCATAGGAAACAATTTTCTAAATCCATTTGAGGAAGAAAAAGGTAATTGGTAGCAAAATGTGAGAAATGATCAGACAAAATATGAGTTTTGCGGTGAGAAGGAGCTGGATTGTTGCTCGTGTGGTTTCTTTCTAAAAAACGAAGAAAAAACTCTGCATAGTGTCTCTTTGTTGTATATTCCTCTTCAAGTCACTTGGACAAATATTAATAGATTGGTTGTTTTTAACGGGTTGTTGAGCAACTCTTTGTTTTACATATTATACATAACTTGTCAAAATGAATAACCAAGCAAGTGGGCATGTTCCTGAAAGGGAATATCGCGAGGAGTGGTTTTTATTTTACACCGAAGCATTTTATAATGTGATCAGAATTCGATGAAACCAGACCAATAGTTAAAATTGTAAATCTCCGGCTCAGCGGTAATCCCACGACCAACCAAACAGCCCAGAGCAGTTTCATCTGGATCGTATAGTGTAACTGTTTGATTATCGCCGACATGGAAAGGGACCGAGATCAACAGGATAGCATCCTTCCTTTTGAAAGTCTCATGTTCTTCCAGGTCGGTGTAGTAATATTTATCCCCCGATTCTATGCTGATGTATTGAAGCTTCGTAGCTGGGGAAACCAGTATCACGATATACATTTTGTCTTCCGTCACACTCGCCCCATCTAAGGAAAGCAGGAAAATATTAGGATTTCCTGAAGTATTTCGAGGGACAGCATTCAACTCACTGGGGGCAGGTAGCAAATCTGACTTAGAAACCGCATCCCTCGGATGAGTTCGGTACCAAACATAAGCCCTTGATCTGAGTTCAAAAAAAAAACATATTTTTTGAGTGTCGGTGTCTCGAAATAGTTACACTGATAGATTACCTTTTGATGAGCGGACGAGATCCTGACTTGTACCACCTAAATGCGTAACAATGTGAGTTTATTATCTCTGGAAAAAGGAATAGACCAAACTAAACTGACTCGTTGAAATATGACATCAAATCCAAGAGTGGCTCATGAGGCATGTGATTCACATATTTCTCTGATGAAGTAGTATCCATTGGTAAATTAGCCGATGGCCTCGGGTCTCGGAGGTAGTGCGATTCTCCCTGTCATGACATCGATGAGCATGTCAAGTTAAACGAAAGCCTTCCAAGATACGAATCGAGAGAGGGTTGACTGACATAGTCATTCCAGCTGAGGATTTCGATAAAATCGGGGTTCAAGGATATCAAGGCGATGAATTTTTCGACCACAAACCAGGATTCCGTTGGATATAGATAGTTGCCATATCTCTGGGCCGACAGGTGTTTGTAGAACATCGCGCTGAGGGGAGCAGCATACTGTTTCCCGAGAGCAGCTAGGTTATCCTTATACCTGCGATCTTGGGACGAAGAGACGGGAGACCAGGCATCCCATGATAACATGCCATCAATCGAAGACACCGTCTTGGGGTCAATACCAGTCCAACATGGCCTGGGTGAAGTCAAAACTTCAATTTTCACTAGATGGCAACGTCTCCAGAACTTCTAAGGACCAGAAACATGCACTTACATGAAGTAAATCTTACGATTCAAATTTGAACATCGTTGAAATCAGCTTCCAGTGTCGATGTCATAATTTCCTTTTTTTTCAACTAAGACGAAGCCAGATGTGTGAACCTACAGGGAAATGGAGCTTTGCCTTTAAGGAGCCCCAGGCTGAATTATAATCTGGGTTGTTGTCCTGCATGAAGGTGAATTGTCAAATTGTCAAAAGAGAAATGGGAATGGGGAGGGACACACGAATTTCATTGAGATAGTACTCAACTCACCAGATAATTTCCAGGTACCTCTCCTGAGAAGGTTGAGACCAGAGGTTTGCCTTGATACAAGAATTGCGCTTTTCTGGGAGCAAAGGTTTCGATGAGCCGAATGACATCATTTGAGGAACCTGCTTGACCATAATAGACCATATCGAAAGCTAGCAAACACGAGTTCAAGCATAAATTATCCGAGAAACGAAGCAGTCATCAGGAAATCAGTGTAGTCCATACTGACATAAGAACACCTGAAACGAGTTCATTTCCGCAATTTCATATATGAGAGGCAATTGTTTTTCGTTGGTCACGTCTCGGCCGATATTAATAGCAAAAGCGTCTATTCCCATTCGTTGGGCCAATCTCACTATCACAATAAAAAAACAAAAGAGAATCGGATAAGGGTAAGACAATCAACGCTGGCGAAAAGTTAACTCGTTTATATGCTTAACTGTCTGAGGACCAATCCTCGGCTTGATAGAATTGGAAATTTCCCTGGACAACATGGGCGAACACATATCTCGGTCTCTCGTTTGGGATAGCAGGCTCGGGATGGTGTTGTGGACCTGGGGGATGCGAATCTCTAGGATCGGGAATTACTCTGCAAACACAAAGCACAGTCATCCCACAAACGAAGCACATCATTTGCTTCAACAATTAGTTTTATCGAATACCTTATTATCACTTCATCAGCGTTTATGGCTTGACTTCCTTCGGCGACGCTGCCTTTTCCTCTTGACTGGCGAGTTCCCATGATTGTAAAGGTCAGGACTGGGCGGATTGGAAAATGAGGTACAAAGTCAAACCGACTGGAGAAGCTGTTTATTAAAGGGATTCGAGATTATAGGGGCAACAGTTTTACCAATGCCCATCCTGGAGAAACATTTGAGATTCATTCCATCGACGTTATTTACAGCTCACAGTCACATCAGGTGCGAGCAAATCACACAAGTTCCCGTCGAATTTACAGCCCCTGCAATTCTAGATTTATACACTGTAAATCCAAACCCGATCTACAGCCACCTGTTTATACCTACCACTTCCAAATTTCACCCCGACCTCCAAAATGCATAGGGAGTTCCAATCCAACATTGGTCTGGGAGACCAATTTTATGAGGGCTTATAAAACAACTCCTAAAAGCGTGTTGACAGCCCCCATTACCTTTAGCAGATCGTTGGCAGGATAAAAAAAAGAACAGCCTTTGAGATCAAGCCCCAAAGGCACCCTATCAATGAAAAAAAAAATACAGAAAGAAAGAAAGAAAGAAAGAAAGAAAGAAAGAAAGAAAGAAAGAAAGAAAGAAAGAAAGAAAGAAAGAAAGAAAGAAAGAAAGAAAAATTCCTAAGAAAAATTAAGAAATTAAAATGGGACAGCGGGCAGGCAACTTCCATTTTGGGAGTCAGAATTAGTTGGAAGACTCCTAAAAAGGGGGTTAAAAAAACTACTCCTGTTTTCTAGCCAACAACTCCCAAAGACTGTTGGTAGAAGTTGGGAGTCTTTTTCTAAAACATGGGCCGGATCTGGGAGTTGTCCGGCCCATTCTGATTTTAATTTTTTGCAATTTTTGGGATGCATGGGGGCTTTTGGGAGTTGTTCCCACTTTACCAGAAGGAATTCATTCCAGTCAAAGCACATTGACTGGAAGGGTTTCTTTCTGTTCAATGAGGTACAAAGACCTCATTGACCAGAAGGAATTACTTTTGGCCAATGAGGTAGCTGTACCTGATTGGTCAGAAGGAATCCCTAGCAGTTGATGAGGTATTGGCTAGAAAAAGGGAGTTGGTTTAAAAACAAAGATAAATCAAAGATCTAACTGATAATCTTTCTTTCAATAAGTCAGCTCTCCTATGTAGAGTTTACTGTAGGAATAAAGCACTAAATTATTTCAAGCAAATTACTTCACTGAGTTTAGGTGAGTTGTATTGATCAAGATACTCATAAGATAGAAAAAACACCTGACTCTAATGTTCCTTGGAGTGAACATTAGTTCACTCCATTTTTGGAGTGCGTGTAGTAGAAACCCAACATTTCTACAACTACTTTTGATGATTATTTTTGTTTTTGATGATCCATACTCATCCTTCATTCACTTGAAATTCTAAAAAAACCATTTGAATTCCACCTTGGCTTGACCCAAGTTTCAGATCATTAAATTTGTCTTACTTTGTAGAGCATGAAACAGGATTCATAGATCTAGCTATCACCATGAGTAGGTAATCCAAAATTGGGCCAGATTATACAGTGTTTCAATCTGATATTATTGACAGTGCAACTGCCAGTTTTCAATTAATCATTTTTTGAAAGTGAAATAAATATGGAAATGGCACATTTGCAAAGGCATGAATTTAAAGAACTAGAGTGGCCATTTCTGATGATCTTGTAAAATGGGGATGCAGCTGAGATTAAGATGTACTCAAACTCAATAGTTCTTCCACCCCATCAAGGTTTTCCCAACCTAAGCCAAGGGTCAGAATTCCCATGTTTCTTGCTACTTCTGCATGCTCTCTCACTTTCTCCAAATTGCCTAGCACACGGTAAATCTTTGCTGCAGCAAAGCTTGCTTCTGCAATGCACGGAGGGATCTTTTCCTGAATATTTGTGAGCAGAGAATGTAAAAAATTAGCTTTACATATTCAAATTTGACCTTAGTAATTGCTGAATTATTTTCATACCGTTTCACAGAGATTAACCATCTCCTCCGCTTCATCAACCGATAAATCAAAGAAACCTATGGATAAAAGCTCAGAAATCCTTGCTACGCGGTTGTCCGACAGCTTTCCAAGTTCCTCGCTCATCTGACAATGTGAGCAAGTACAATTGAACCCGTAGGCTTCCTCAAGGATGTCACGTCGTTCTTGCCGCGGTAATTCGTATTCACGATCTGCAATTTTCATCAACGCAAATCTGCTCAAAATTGATAGAGATGATTCCTTACAATTTATCGTAAGCTCCTCGCCTTTCGCAACTGGCTCTAAAGCTCTCATGTATAAGATTTGAGTCCCTTCATCAAGATAGTAGACTACGTTTGGCCGACAAGCGTGATTCAATCGTCTGCGGATAAGTCATTGGGAAATGTCGTGAGTCATGTACCAATTCTATCTGTGCAAAGCAGAACTTACGCTGGCTCTAGTACAAGTGCACCAAACTCAAGCGACTCGTCTTCACTGAACTCACTGCCAAAAACATTCATATCAACTAAGCTGGATATATATTCATCCTCCGTATCGCCTACACCATGATACGTGGCGACTTCAGCGCGTGTGAGTAGTGGTAAGTGATCAATAGCTTTTCGGCGAATGCTGCGACCCAAGGGCGTTTCCCATAAGGGGGTGGAGCCTGGCAAGAGAGCTACAGGGCGCGACATAGCGATGTAATCCCCCGTTTTCAGATCGCGAGTAGCCAATGCTCCCTTTCCACCTTTTTCAGGCATATCCACGACTTGAACAGTATCGGGATTCGGTGGATCGTCAGAGAGGTCGATACCATTGTTGAGCTTCCTCTCAAAAAGCTCGGTAGGGGTGACTATCACCATTCCTTGACCTTGGTTGATGCTCGGGTTGACAAAGATGCAGAGTTCCTTCGGGCCGTCATCAGTCGGATTATGAAAGCATGTTGATTTATAGAATCCATTCCGGAATGGCTCGAGTTTTCCTGTCGGAGTAACCTGGTCGAATTTGTACACGAGGTCTTCGGAGGAGGGTAGGACTACCTCAAGGGATGGCGAATCATCTCTTTTACAAATTAAGCTAGTATCATTCAGCCAGTAATAGCTCGTTTGCTGGATTTCAGAAGTGGATAATCGAACAAAATCGGTATCTGAACCGTAGCTCGCCAGGAGGATCGTAGCATAAGCGGGTGCAAGGACTAACATGTATTTAATTGACATTCTAAAAATCAGATGGTTGATGCGATCTGGTACGCCTGGAAAGCTTTTTTCCAGCTTGAGACCCTCCTCCTTTTGATCGCATTCGGCCGCCGCCAAATGCTACTGTGGTCATATATGATGAGTTGGTAAATCAATGTATCTACGAAGAACATGAATATGAGGTTTCATTGCAGCTGCCGACTGCCATGACTACTGCACCATTACAATTTACTGCCAGCCTTGCCTACTTTTTTTTCTGACCTCGGAATCGTCTCGCTTTGTCGGTCCGTCCCTGATGTGAAGCAGTTAGGAGGACCAATAACTTGCAATATTATGAGCAAGCAATTTGGAAAAATGCAACAGCTCTTTATATTTGTAGCCAGCTTTATCTATTTCAAATTTGCATCAGATTGCATCCACGGAGTCTGCATGCATCTTCGGGATAAAATGTAAAATATTTGTTCAAGTTCCTGAGTTCCGGGGAATTATTCTAACTTAACTAACTCCCTTCCCTTCCTGGTCGGAGTGGTAAACCACTTGTCGCATTGCGCCGACCGGAGGGAGGGACTCACGAGCAAGGTCCGACTTACGAGCAAGGTCCACCCCGCGGCCCAAGGTCATTAAGGATTTTGGTGGGGGTTTTTTTAAAATCAATCTCACACAGATTTGGTTGATTTGTTTTCCTCTAGTTTTCACTTGAGGGTTCTTTCAAGCTGTCCCCATCTATGTACTAATTTTACTAATTATGGTTAACACATCTCCTTCATTAATGATGATGACTGTAACATTTCCAATTTCAGATACTGTACAGTGCAAGATGTGTGGTCCAGGATGAGGCAGGAGAATTGTGATCACCAAAAATGAAAGTTAAAAGCCATCCAAGGGCCTAAAAAATCAAGAAAAATATGGAATGAATCTCCTTGATCTTGTGCATCTTTTGCCTCCCCAAAACATGATCATCAGCCAAAAAATGGTGCTGCTACACAAGATTGAAGAATGTGGATTTCCTAGTTCTCTTGGGCCGCGGGCTTGACTTAGCGCATAAGTCCCTCCTTCGGAGGGTCCCTGCAGGACAGCGTCCCCCCTCCAATAGGGGGACTTAGTTAAGTTAGGGAATTATTACAGAGTCAAAGCCATAAATCTTCACTAAATTGCATTACCTCCCATAGATGTAGCGTGGCTGATAGCTACAAAATTTCCAGGATGTTAATTTTGGCTGTAATGGAAAACTGCCAAATCCCACTGACTCTAAATTAGGCTGAATCATGACAGATAAATAGTGGCCCACTACATCTAAAGCTAAAGATACAACGTTTCTCCAAATTGCATGTACATAGCTGTAATTGCAGCACCCTGAAGTAGAGCTAGAGAATAGAGTAGAATGTTGCTGTCATTTAGCCTAATCTAGCAGGAAGAATTTAGCTAAATTATAGCTACATATACTATTAGAGATGGTCACGTTGAATCCGGATATCTGCGCGGATGCGAATATCCGCTCACAATTTCAGCAGAATTTGATATTCGCATCCGCAACCGCAACCGCAACCGCTGGCGGATATCCCCTGGTGCTGGCGGATACCCGCCCTTTAACTCGGCGGCAAGGCAGCCGGCTGGAAGGAAACCCTTCCAGCCAGCCATCTCCTCCTTCCGGCCTTGGGTATCCTTGGGGATTCCCGGATATCCGCCGGGATTTCACAGAAAAGGGGGCATCCGCACCTGCCAGCGGATATCCCCTGGCACTGGCGGGTATCCGCCAGCGGATAGCAGATATCCGCGACCATCTCTATATGTTGAAATACAAATCCATTGTGTCAACCTGTGTCATCATACATCATAAAAATCATATGTCATGAATAGAATCAATTCATGTACACAATCAAGTTGATGACACTAACACATAGGAATCATATCATATAAATCAACATCCTGGACAAGACTGGATAGCCTAGTGGTAAAGGCATCACTCCTAGTAAAGTGACTTAGCTAATGCTGAGGTCCCAGGTTTGAATCCTGGTCTAGTCATTCTTTTCCCTAAAATATATAGCTGATGCTTATTCTAACACTATATACTATATATAACATAATAGTTCCAGTTTGATAGGGTCATAGAACACAGAAGTGAAATTCAGCATATATGTGAATACCATAGGTACCCGTCATCTCAGCAAAAATCTACCCCAACAGTGGCTTTATTGCAGGTGACTGGTGGGATTCAAGATTCCCCAGTTTACTGGGTTCCCTGGAAGAAAAGTGGGTTGTAGAAATATATATCAGTCAAGAGTTCAAAACACAAGATATATACCTCTGGAAAAGTTAGACATGTAGCAGGTCTGATGTTGATATGCCAGATGGTGAAAATAATTTTATTACAATTGTGGCCTTCTCTTACTAATACCCACTATGGTCAGAGTAAACTTGATGATGCTAGAATAGCAGCAATATAGTATTGAAGTGCAAGCATGGTGAGCAAAATAATTTTATTCCCAGTTTATAATTGGTAGAAAGTTTCCAGTCAATATGACTCTGCAGTACACAGCTACATAAGCACTGCAAAAAGGGTTGTAACCAATACAAGCCCTTTTGCAGTGAAGCATTGATGACTGGAACAAGGAGTTAAATCTACTTGCTAACTTCTACCAAGCTCCTCACTTTGAAGGGCCTGACATTATACCCTGTATAGAATTCTAATGATCCCTGAAAAGTGAGATTTGGCCAATTGATCAAACTTCATTATTGACTGGGAACTGGAGATTAAGTTGAACAATGAAATGATAAAGTTATGGGCTATTAAGGGAATAGTATGGCTTAGAGGATTCTTGAGGATGGTATTTCTAATCTTTCTTTAATCTCTACTAGTCTCAACACTGGGTTGCTACTTTACACTGCATTATCTGCATTATCTTAGTAATGTGGTGCACTTGATTCTTTCCCTGATGCATTAACATTATCTGTAGTGGCAAATTTTTCTATCAGCCGGTAATGTAATGTTGAAGTTTTTGTGCATAATTAATGGATAAAGTAATTCATTATTAGATTATCCAGAGGTTAAGAAATCCTTAACACATTTTAAGTGGCAAAAAGCCTCTCTTTTTGAGCGTTGGCAGCAACACATGCCATGAATGTCCAAAAAGTATCACACGTCTTATTTGAAAAAAAATCTACAAGTTGCTGATAGTGTAACGAGCATGACAAAAAATTAAGGCAAAATGGTGATGTAATGTGCTAAAAACTTTCAAACATTTTGGGGAAAGTAATGATAATGAGTGGAAACTCACTACTTTATCTTTACACTACCATTACGGGTAATGTAACTACCCAGTGTTGCTAGTCTCACCACACTTTACAAGAATCAACACATCAAAAAATGATGTTGGCAGAATACCATGATGCAAGAGGTTCAAGCGTCAGAGATACTGACCTGTATCCAAAGTACTGCTCAAAATGAGTGATAAATAATCAATTGTGATGGCTCTTTCAATATTAATAAAAATCCAAACATAAAGAAATCTGACATTTCATAAAATTGATGTTCTTATCCTGGAGGTCTCATGAATTGATGTAGAAATTTTCTATAAATAATTTTTGAACAGCCTAATAAATAGTTGACTGCAGGTTATATTTAAAGTTTAGGATTAAGTGAACCAGATGGTTACAAGCCTGAAAGATTGGGCACAGCCCCCCCCCTTTAATATTGCAAAACCATTGGTGTCCCTGGATTGTTTGACTCCAAGCAATGGAGGACTTCCCGTGGGATCTCGGACCCTCACATTTTTTGATTTAGACCCAAAAAGTCTAGATTTTTGCAGGGAAATCTAGCTTTTTTGGCTCTAAATCAAAACTGGGAGACCCGCAGATGTTGATGGGAAGTCATTCAATGTTGTCAAAAAAAAGCCAAACAATGCCTGAAAATTCAACCTTCACCCCCTGATTCTTTTATACTGCTTTTCAATCTTCTTGCCATCTATTTCTGTTCACCCATCCCAATCAAATTTCCAAATTCTTTCATTAGGCAAGTTTGCAATCCTCAAACTCAATCTGGAAATTTTTCTTCTTATTCAATTTACCTGCATTAGCTGAGCTAATTGGTCTTGGACCCTTACGTTCAGACACCGTTTTGGCCTTTGTTGTTTACCACCTTGCCACTCTTGGCCGACCTTTTTCTGTGTTGCTGTTTGTGGCCATGTTTTAGAACTTCTCTTATCTCTCTGCTTAATGAATCTATGTATCTGATAACACAATGCATGTCAAACTCTTACAACACATATCACAGAGCTCCCTCATTTGAAAATTGATTTTAGACCATTCTTTAAAGAACCTGAGACTGAGGTTTACCAAACCAATGCGTTAAAACACAACCACATGAGCTAACAATGAGATAGAAACAAGCAAACCTGAGAGTTGCCAAACCAATGCGTTAGAACACAACCACTCAAGCTAACAATGAGAGAGACACAAGCGAACCTAGAAAAAGAGAACATGATGAGGAAAGAGAAACCAAAGAGAAGAAATAAATGAGAAGATGAAAAACAAGAACAGACCTGTGACAAGCAACACTGGGTCTCTACTTTACGCCGCCTTATCCAGTGTATCTGAGTATTGTAGTGCACACAGCTGCTTGGCTGCTACTTTACCGCTACACTAACTGCAATTTTTTCTCCTGGTCTGTAGTGTAGTGGGACCCTTTTCTGAAACCCAAAAAAAACAGATAGTGTAATGGTTTCACCCCTGGATAGTGCGCTACTGCACTATCCTGTAGCGTAATTGGGCCCCTCTTCTTAAAAGCACCAAAATCTGATTTTGTAATGGTTTCACCCCTGGGTATTGTGTTACTGCACCATCCAGGGGTGAAACAGCCCTAATCTGATGATGAAACAGTCCAGCCTTGTCATTTAAGGGTCCCAACCTGTTAGCAGCCATCTGTCCCCAACCCCATCCATCTTGATTCGTCACAAAAATCATCTTCAAGATTATTTAATATCATCCAATATTAATTATTATTCATCTTACTTGCTCATATTAATGTTTCTCTCTCCTACGTTTGTCTTCCTGATAGTAATTTTTCTCTTGTCATCTCCTCTCTACCGTAATGCAATAAAAAATACAAAAAAACAGCCGCTGCAATAGTGTAGAGGCCAAAAAAAAAAAAACAGCAAAAAAGAAAAAGATAATGTAGTGCATGTGCACTACAGGAAAAGTAGTGCTAGTGACAAAAAAACACTACTTTAACGCTACACTACCGTTACTGGTAGTGTAGTGACCCAGTGTTGTGACAAGTGAATCAGGCAAGTATGAGCAAGATGAACAAGGCACAGATAGAAAAGACTAAAAAAATATGATGAGAAAAAAGAAACAGCATTTTAGAAAAGAAAAGCCCTTTTGATACATGTACACCAGATGATCTAGGTTTCTAACCTTGTCTATCTCAGTTGACTGCATGTCCCCCTTTGCCGCAGCGGGATGAGCATGAATCCCTCGACCCTCCGTTCAACATTTTTTGCACTTTTTTAAAATGGAATCAAAAATCACTGGGTCAGAAAACATGTACCAAAAAATACACAGTTTTTCAGCAACTGCACTTCACATCCATCTCACCTATCCCTCAGCACATCTCAAATGCTTGTCATCAGCAGATACTCACTACAAAAAATTCATGGGTTGAACATTTGCATTCATTCAATTGATTGATCATACTTTTTTTGTTCTTTCCTCCTGCTGGTATTTTTTGATTCAATTCTACCAACTTATTGTACAATTTCTACATTCTTTGTTCTTATGGTTCATTTTTTTAATATTTCTTGAAAAGACTGGATTTCAAGGTTTCTAACTTCTCTTGATAGAGATGATAAGAAAGTGGTGGTTTTCACTTCATGACTGGTGCTTTTGAGAAAATTTTTGGTTTGTTTGGGGTTGCTGCAGGCACCTTAACTTTGAGGTGGTTGCTGAAGCCTGTGAACAACAATGGCCATCAGTTACGCTAACTGTAGTGTTATCATGGTGTGACGTAGCAGAATTCCACCACATCTGCGCTAACACTCCACCTGTAGGCCCCAAAAAAGAGCCCACTACACTGCACCAATGCACTGGTTAGCCTGTAGCACAGCTTAGTGTAGCAAAAATTTGCTAAAATAGCGCCAATACCACAGGATTTGGGCACAAAAAAAGTTCCACTACACTAACACTTTTTGAGCAAAAAGTGTAGCAGCCCAGCATTGTTTTGAAGTTGATCATTGAAGTGTTTGTAGTTGATAATGCTTTTTTTGTTTGAGGCCTGTGAAGGCAATTGGTTGCAAGTCTTGTGTTTGGGTGAAAACAAAATTAGATGCCACAGTGGATTCTCAGACCCATCAGATGGTGGAGCAGGTGGTGATATCTTAAAAAAGGTTGGATCAATCATGTGTACATATTTATGATGATTTGGCTTTGGTGACAAGAATGCAGGAGAATGCCAGATCAACTGTTCTCAAAAGGGGAGAGGGACTGTTTCCCTAAATGGTGGCAAATGTGGAAAACCCATTTGTTGCATTGTGTCAAAAACTTACCCCTGTGGTACATGTTTTTGGTGAAAATCAATGGAGGACTTCCCATCAGATCTGGGACCCTTGCAGTTTTTGATTTAGACCCAAAAAGTCTAGATTTTTTTGGGGAAATCTAGCTTTTGCCGCTCTAAATCAAAACTGGGAGACCTGCAGATGTTGACGGGAAGTCATCCAATTACTGCCAAAAAAAAAAAAATGAAAACTGGTTGAACACATTATTGCATTAGATGGCAGGAGCAGCTTGACAAGGAGGAGACAACCAGTGTGCTGTCCATGGTACCTTGTTTGACCCCACCTAGGATAATTACAAGTGGCCCAAGCCCATGGAGACAGGTTGTTGACCAGCTAGCTGGGGCAATTGACAATTGGCAGGGGGAATATGGTAGGGTAATTTGACCTTGACTGTCATCAGGCTGATGCCATACAAAATAGAAGGTTGGAGCTCTAGAACTCATAACCTTGATTCATAGCTATCAGCTTCAGGTGATTGTTGTGATCAATGCAATAGCCACCAGATGGTTTACCTTTAGATCACTAAGAGCTCTCAATGGCGGAGGGTCACAAGTAGCCACAGCCATGCCCCCAAAGCAGGACTGATGAATAGAAACCGATGATTACAAATGCCGGTCACTAAATCTTTCACGGAGATTATTGACACCCAGGCCAGCAGCGGGCCTTCATTAGACGTGAGCTGACGTTTAGCAAGAGTTGTATGCGGATGAGACTTAAGGACAAATAGTGACATTTGGAAATCGATGTATGATCGGTCACTGATTGGACGAGGGAAGGAGTGAACGCAAAAGCGGTACCAAGCCTCTAAAAGTATATTGAGATCGCATTGCATGGTAGGCATAGACATCATGATGGAAGGGTAGAGTTGAATGTGAGGATGATTAATTACGAAGCGGCGATCATTTTGGGGGCTCGAACTCCTCGACGCTTGGCAACAACTACATCATCAGCCTTTTCAACTTCCTCAGTCACAGGGGTCAGGATGATCTCAACGTGACATGGGTGTCCCTGGTAAGGATTAACTGGAAAAAGTAACAAGCAGTGAAGCAAATGGTGTCAGTCGGATGTTTGAAGGTGTTGATGAAGAAAGCACGACTAACTTCGACCGTGGGCACGGTATGTGCGTCGACGGGTTTTGGGGGCTTGGTTGACGTTGACGCTGGTGATAACAAGATCCTCGGGTTCAAGCTCGTTGGCGACGGCGTTGGCCTGGGCGTTCTTGAGGAGTTGGATCATGTATTTGGCCGACTTAAGAGGCCATCGACCTATTCAAAGAGAAATCATTCAGGACCCAAGTATCCTCGTCCCTGAAGTAATATTTCGACCGACCTTGAGTGGCCTTGTGGGCCTTGGCTTGTGCAGTTCGTCCGACTCCACCGGAGAATCTTCGGAAAGGAACACACTGTTTGTGTTCTGTAACGTCGCTCAAGAAAGAGAGTGCTTTGGCGAGTTTGAGACCAGTGATGGCGGCGGCTGTCTCCCTGCAGGTTGGAAGAACCAAAATGATGATCAAGCGAGGAGGTCAATGAATGAATTAACACTAGAGATATGCGGCGTCCAAAGATGCTGAATCGGCGGCCCTTCGGAAAGTGCTTCGGAGGACCATGTAACGGGTAAAAGAGGGTGTTTTTTTATTACCTTGTGTTCTTGAAATGAACGCGGAGGTAGTTACTTCGAGACCGAGCGATAGCCTTGCGATCTTCTTTTCCATCCTCCTTCTTAGGAATCAGGTGAGCGGCGGCATACTTGGGGGCCATCTTCTCGAGTCGTCGTCGTCTTCGTGGGTTTCGGCTGGGGCTATCGTCTTGAGGTTGGGCCGGGCAGGGGGAGTACGCGGGCGGTAGTATGATCGCTGAACCGAGCCTGGAGCAGTCGGTTAGGTTTCAGCCGTGTCTCACTAAGGGTTAGGTTTCGATGATGCCCGGTGCTCCCGCCGCGACTCGCCCGCGACGCAACTGCTCCTCGCGCGCACACTCCTCACAGCGGCCCAAGACACACGTGTGTCTGGGCACGAAGGAGAAGTCCACCATTAAGTTCAGAGAGATATCTCCAAGCAGATATTTAAATACTTGAAGTATGTCCAAGCTTGGAGAGTTCTGTTGGTCACTTGTGTACGGCAAACCCTCCAAATCAAACGTCATCGTTTTCATAAGCCTCTGGGGTCGAGACTCCCCATCTAAGTTTATGTGAGTTCAGGGATGAACTGGACGGCTTATATCCTGGAGAAGTCATTCCGGCTGGACTTCATATGAGCACCACATGTACCGGCTTGTCGAGGAGGAAAACTCTTCGATTCGACTTGTCGGAACGGTACGTCTGCGCCGGCTTGGGCCGCCTGTGGAGTATAAACTGCTTGACTTGACAAGCCGCAACACACCTGTACCAGCTTGTCGAAGAGGGAAACTCCTTGACTCGTCCAGCTAGTACACTACACGCCTGGATCAGCTTATCAAGAGATAATGAGCCTCGTTGAGTCATGTCTCTGAGTCTGATTCTTTTCTGAATGCAACCTTGCTTTGCGGTTGAAGTCTGCAAGCCTGAGTCAAATCCACGTAGATGAGTGACACCACCTGCTACCCCAACCACAAATTATCCACCAAAACTTTACCGTAGGTAGGAAAGACTCTTAAAGGCTTCTTCCTTCGTTAGCTTCCAACCACAAAATCAGTGGAGAATGTTCTCTACCATCATCGCCATCGCCATTCTACTCACAGGAGCTTTTCAGCCCTTACATGCTGCTTTACCACACCGTGCCAACGGAATAGTCGATACAAGGTCATTAACAAGCAGTCTGCAAGCTGCTGACACCGAAAAATTGTTAAGGGATCATGAAGAATCACCATCTTCATTGATCATCTGTGATTATGATGTGAGTGCCCAGGTGTCGAAGATTGTTAATCGCTTGGAGCTCTTGCATTTACTAACTTGGAAAAGCTCTTAGGATGTTCTAACCGATCCGACAAAAGATAAAAATAAAAAGTATCCCAGAGTCATTAGGGCTCTGGAAAAACTTGCTGCGAACAAAAAGAATGAAGTCTGGATCATAACCGGGCGACCTCGGAACGGTCTCCCCGATTTCATTCGCAATATTCCCAATCTAAACCTAGGGGAGGGAAGAGGGACGTACATCCAAACGGCCGCGGGCATAAGTAAACCAGAACTGAATCTACCGGAGGCGATAAACTTAAAACATGAGATTCTTAGAATTGTTGCACGTAGGTCACTTGAAGTCCCGGAAGTATGGTAACTGATAGCCAGGAGAACACCGATTCTGATTCGGACTTCCTGCACAGCATTTGTCCCGGCAGATCAATTGCATTTGACCGAAGAGACGTATTCAGTGCGTTTTATATGCACTAAGGAGCAAGCGAATAGTCCGTTTTGTAGCGCTGCTATGACTGAAGTAATAGAACAGCTCAACTAATGATTGATCAAACCATTTTACAGAAATACTGCCCGTTTTAGACGATCGTTTGAGAACGGAGCATAAATTCAAGGATTACGAAAGATCACACGTTGAGGACGTAGCACACCGTTATGGTAACCGTTATGATGCGATCATGCTCAGCCATAAGACCGCGTATGACAAGGGAAACTTAGTGAACAAATTACTTGAAGATAGATTGACGAGAGAAAACCCGATCAAGTTTGCTATCTGTTTTGGTGACGAGCGCATAGATGAGCCCATGCATGAAGCAATGACCAGAAGAAGTTTCCCGGCTATTTTTGTCGGTCAAACGGGTCAAAACGTCCCTCGAAAGACCCATGCATCGGCAAGAATGTCATCACATCAGGATGTTGTAGAGTTCTTAGAACGCATGAGTGGCATAAGTCAGGAAGGTTCTAAAAGAAATGGTTCTTGTTTTAAATTTTTCAAGAGGTAAAATGGAGTACTTCCCAGCAGGTTTATGTACAGGAATTTGATTCTTAAATACATGTTAATCCATCTTCTTGGAAATACAATTATGATTTATCAACCAAGATGTCCATGATTTTCATGTGTGATGGCCATGGTTTTAACGTGTGTCTTAATTGGGGAGTTGGAGTGGTTTTGACAGTCCTGTATATGAGGACTTCCTATCAATCTGGAACCCTTGGATTAGAAGGTCTGATCCTACATTCTGAGCTCAATATGGTAATGAGAACCAACTGACTTGAAGTTCTCCCAAGAAAACAAGACTTATGAGTTAACTCTGGGGAGCCTAAATAAGGATTCCGTTGCCCAAAGTAATTCCTCCACTGCGGGACTTCCCATTGGATTTACCAGCATTTCAATTCTTAAATTAGATAGCTGCAAATTTATTTTTTGGAAAGATTTTCATGCTTTCTTTCTTAATCATGAGATTGATGAATTTTATTCCAGCTGAGATGGCCTGAGTCACAACCCTTGGCTGATAGGATAGGAAATGATACACATCTGTCTGCAGCAAGATTTCTGGGCTTGTGGGGGTAGACTAGCACACAGTTTTTAACCATGTAAAAAGCTATTGAATGAACATCTTTCAGGCACACACAGATGGATAAAGATGTTATTTCAGTCAGATTTTGCTGCTTGCATCAAGGTTTCCATAGGATGTATCATTAGCTAACATCATATTTATTAGCTGACATTGGAGGTCTTCCCGTCGATTTTACAGCCCCCTGTAAAGCTATTTTTACAAGCTCGTGAAACCGTTTTCCCAGCAAAAAATTAGCTTTACAGCCTGTAAATCTAGCTTTACAAGCCCTGTAAAACCCACGGGAAGTCCTCCATTATATTTCATTAACAATTATATGCAAGTTTTATTTTGCTTCAGGCTCACTCAAGTCACAGGGTCCGAAATTTTCCCAATGTGTTTCCAATTTTTGAAGGGCATGTTTACAATGTGTCTTCCTTTCCCTGTAAGATTTCTCATCGTTTTTTGTGTTGTTTTACTTCCATTATCTTATGACTCAATCAAACCTCATACTAAATTGACCCTAACTTAAACGATTTTTTTTTTTCAAGTTTGAATTCTCTGAAAATCAATCAAGAGCTTCTCAGTTTTTTTCCCTGCCAAGGCAAAGGCATGAGAATTAATTAGGAAAGGAAATTCATCAACCAGCCAGGTCTACCCATAAAACTAATTTGTGACACCTATGGATTGCGATCAAGTGGGTGTGATGTGGTTACTTCACTTGCGCAAAATTTGAAGCGGTATATAGGGTGGGGAAATTCTACACAAAAACATCACTATGCTGGCGAGACTAGAGGAGTGAAGGTGATTTTTCTTCTGGTCCTGGGGCCAGCGACGTTCCGGAAGGTTTCTTCTTCTCCGCACTCGGAGACGCCTGTTGGTCGTCTACGTCTTTACTGCTTTCGGTCCCATTCTCAGCCCCTTGGGACGCCTGTTGGTTATCTTCGCCTTTGTTGCTATGGGGTGAGCGCTGACCTACCAGCCTACGAGCGCCCTGGTATGCGAGAAAGCCCCCCACACCCGCCGCAACTGCAACACCGCCTACCCCGAGACCTGCAGCTCCGATGCTTTGAAGAATCGCGCAGGCGCTTCCGGATCCAACCGAGCCCCCGTAGGACGCCATAAGAGCAGCAGCAGGTGTTCCGGCGACGATGCCTTGGGCACCAAACCCCGCCGCTGCAATGGATGCTTGAGTGAGGAATGGACTAGCCACCGCTCCTAAAACAGCGCCGGATCCAGCTATAATTCTGTCAGAATTGACTGTGAATAGAATTACATATCAAAAGGTCAAGTGAGTTAATTCTAACGGCGCCGTTTGTTAAGTGAGGTTTTGCGCCGTGCTTACCGTCGGCAGTCTTCATTTCGACCTTGCAGCGGATTTTTCTGAGCGCCTCGACTGGCACTATGTCTTTCAATAGCGTAGAATGTTCATGCTCCGTGCTATCGATCTGCTTATCGCCAACGTACATCCCCAGAAGAGTAGCCTTTTTTCTTTCGACTTGATCGGTGACTCGGCGCTTGAGAACAGCAACGGTCTCGGTCTCCGAGCTAATAGGGACATCGAAGCTGAAGACGGTCTGTTCGGTCGGAGTTGCTAGGTAAGCATCACATGAGACGGTGGAAGCCATTCCGATGTGGTTTCGATTGTCTTGAAAATGGATGGTGGCCTGTGCGTATTTAGTTTGAGATGTTAGGCATGTCAGATAACATGCATCAACCTTTGAAGCCAGAGTTTTTAGGATAAGAGCATGCAAAAGAGGGAATCACAGACTATGGGAAAGGAAGAACCCAAGGCAAAGAGAACAGGAAGGACCAGAAGCATGGGACCTTGGATGAAAGCAGCTAGTGGCGAAAAGGATTTAACTTCTTGAAATTTTGAGGGTGAATCAGAAGCGTGAGCAGAGCTAGATGTATGTAATTCGACATTCCAGAGGTCGATTCTTGCGATGTGACATAGCCCTTCGAAAACATCGAAGCCCTTTGCGCACATATGACATGCGCAACGGCCAGCACCCCATTGACACAGATAACCAAGTTACCCAAGGCCGCTTTGTCAGCTGCTTGGATTGGTTAACATTTCTGCCAAGGGACTGCACAAAGTGGAATATCGCAGCGTCCAACTTTGCGGGGATTGTTGCAAGCATTTTATAACAAACATCTTTATGTTTGTAGACTAGAAAACGCGGTTAGCTGGTTGCCAACTTTTTATGTATGGGTATGTATTCAACCGGGCGTGAAGAGAGGCTACATAGAGCCGAGATGGACCGAGGGCCGGGATTTCAAGTCACATTCAAGTCCATACTGAGCGCTAATTCCAGCCTGGGCGATATGCAGGAATGTATGTAGCGGTGGAGGAAATAAAGGTTTACACAGCAATCAGATCAGAAGATCTTATCAACGGATTGAAGTCATGCATTCATGATTTACAAACAAGTGTTTAGAATCTTAGAGATAGGAAAGAGGTAAATTTTCATGCTTCCAACGATAGAGGGAATACAAACCTTGGCAAACCAATTGAATTCCTCTATATCCAGTCAGAAGGTCACAGGGCATCACCTCTGCAAAGGTCATGTTAATCCATTTTGCACTATGAACTTTGATTTGTTTGCAGCCTCAACGTGTTTTGCCATCCTATGCCATGTCACTCAAACCATTAATTAAGGTTCTCAAAGTTAAAACAGACCAGCATACATATGAGGTTACATGTAACACATATACTTGTTTTTCTGCAGGGGTAGGCAGGGGTATGCATCTAGAACAGATTTTGTTGCCAAGGTATGGATTAAAAAATGGAAAAACAGCCAATATGTACGAGATTATGTAGGCACCATATGTTGGCCCAATTTCAACTTTGAGAACCCAACTGCTGGGGTAGTTAATTTGCTGCTAATTTGAAAAGAACATACACACTTGAAGTTGAAGGCAACTTGTAGCACATTTACAATTTTTTCATGAATTTTGTCAAATCTTATGAATGATCAGTTTTGGAGCAATTTGAGATGTTTGACAAATTTGTGAAATTTCCAATGAGTAATACCATGAAATTTGCATCAAAGTTCAGATGTGAACCAACCACATGTCCTGATAATTAATAATGATTGTATCTCAATAAGAAAGAAACACATTCTGCATTTGCAAAGCAAGCACTTAAAACACCTTAACTATTTCAGCAAGTATCTAGAAAATTCCATATTTGAAAAACTGGTAGATCCTAAGGGCCTTTTCATTACATGAATGAATCTTATTCCCCTGTCAAGGAAATTTGTACATTCTATTTTTTTCCACAGTCTGTTGAATTTATCAGTCAAAGGGAGGAGATCTCACTGGAAAGGCTCAAATCCATGCGGTGAAAGAAGAAGAAATAACTAATGATTGATTTCATTTGTGTTGAGCTAAGTGGAATAGACTAATTAAAATATGACCAAGCTCTAGGTTTTAAGACAAATGGAATAAAAACAAAATCAAGTGAGAAGAACATAAAAAGTACAGATTTTATTGTCTGAAACATGTCATATTACATCATTCATTTTGTGCCCTGAATTCTCAAGAATGAGTGATTAATCAAAGTGTTTTACATCACAAAACTGAAATGTGAGGTTCTTCTTAGCTAACTGCCCAGTTATAGGTGCTACAGAGAGGGCTGCATCACATTCTGCAAATGCAAGGTAACATTGCATCTCACATGCAATGTCACCTTACATTTGAAAAATGCAATGGAATTTACAGTGCCAAAAATTTGATTGCATTTTGCAAATGTGAGGTGACATTGTGTGTGACATGCAATGTTACCTCACATTCACAGAATGTGATGCAACACTTTTTGTAGTGAGGTGAGGTGTAGGGTGGTCTAATTATATCCCAGTTGATCAAGTTTCACTTGTTTATGATGAACAATCTGGTGAATAAATTATGGATGAAATGAGTCAAATTGAACAAATTTTTTATCCTCTCAATTAAGGAATTAAAACAAAATTGAAAATGATATACCAGTGCAACAAAGGCCTTATGTCAAACAAGGAACCCTTTCCAGGATTTTTGATTTAATCAAAGTTGCTCCTTTTGTATGAGTCTATCTTTTTAATCTCACCTCTTTTTGCCACATTGTATCTGCTCACCTTGCTGTGTATATGTCCTAGTTATTCTTAATGACATGAATAAGAAATTGAAATCATATATTTCCCAAGCTGGAATCAGCAACAATCCATCCCCCAGTCCATCTCAGCTCTCCTCAGGAGTGGTTGAATACATGAATATTTATGCCTAAAATGTTGGTAACCAGCTATCCCCATCCTGCAGTCTAACAACATAAAGATTTTTGTTAAACAATGCTTGTAAAAATACCCACAAAGTTGTACACTCTGATACTCCATTGTGTACAACCCCTTGTCAGAAAAGTTAACTGATAAAAGCAATTTGAAGACCAGGAGGCCTTGGGTAACTTGGTTATCTGTGTCAAAGGGGTGTTGGCTGTTGCAAATGTCACATGTGTGCAAAGCGCTATTCCACATTTTCAAAATCTACCTCTGCCTTTAATTTCACTGTCAGCTTGGATTGGGTTCTTGACAAAGTTGAAAGAGAAAAAATTGCTACTCTTCTTAGAGAATCTTTACTGGTTGAGGTAAAAGTGAGTGAATTAACTTGTGGCTATTGCTAAGCTACAATAGCAAAGCCAATTTGGTCACACAAGTGTGGCTTGATGTTAAGCTGTGTGGTGTGGTTTGAAGTAGAGGTGTGTATTGTTTGTGGGAGGGAACCAATATGAAGTACACACATAGGTGTTTGCTTTTAGCTAGCTTGCAAGCTAACTGTTGTTGGATCCAGCAACAGTAATCCAAACTCTCAGCTCAAAACCAATTTGGCTTGAGCTTAGCTAATCCCAGTGTGGTTGACTTTTGTGGCTAAATCCTTAAAGCATTGAAGAAATTCTGACCAGAGATGCAGAGAATTTTTTTGAGAAGAAAAAACTTTTTGGGCAACAAAAAAATAATTTTTGTTGGAAAGACTCAAGGGTCGGTAAAAGAGTGTGAAAGCCAATGAGTTTTTTACTTAGAAGCGACTATGGGTTAAGTAGTCTACATACAAGAGGTCAAACATGTGGTTGGGGAGAAATGAATATCAAAATGAATAACACATATTAAGGCCCCGTTTGGCAGCGTCATAAATTTAGGTGTAATATTGCCTGATTAATTCAATAAAAAATAAAACAATGCAAAAAATGTTTCAAAATTGTTACTCAGGCAAGTTCAATTACTGGTTTCATCAATGCTGAGAACAAACTTGATCTATCAGGCCATCTTGAGCCCCATAATATTGATATTACACTTTATATGGGTAAAAAGTGTAATATTGGTATTATGGTGCTGAAGATAGCCCGGTATATCAAATTTTTCCGTTCTAAAATTTAAATCAGTAGTTGACCTTTCCCCACTGAAAATTTTATCACATATTGTTGAGTGGTTCATTTTATATTGAATTTATAAGGCAATATTACACTTGAATTTATGATGCTGCCAAACGGGGCCTAAAAAGTGCTTGAAAAGCTGCTAAACTCATCAGCTGAGGGCAGCTTGGGTCATGTTGAAACTTGACCAGCTTACATACCATGACATCTGCCAAGTGCACCACCCATTCTTGCAGCACTGTCAAACTGCATCAACCATATCCAAATCTGACATGTCAAACTCAATTCATCATCATATCAAACCTAATCTCAATTCTCATCTCATCTATAAATTGAGCTCAATCAGATTCAGACACAATGATTCTTCTTCATTCTTCCAATCACTCACATCAGTCTTGACTTCCCCTCATCAAAACACTCATCAGTCTTGACTTGTCCTCATCAAAACACATTCAAAAACATCATTCAAAGAATCAATTTCACCTCAACTACCCAATCAAGCTAAAAAGCTCACTCAAAGAAGGTCTTGTTGTTATTCAACTTGGTGAGAAATGACATCAAAGCACAGCAAGTCATAATCAATCGTAACTGAATTAACATCTAATGTTCAACTTTTTCAGTCCTGCGCTCCTTTCCTGTCCTATTCTCACTTTAAGTTTAGTTGTCCGTCATTGTTAATTCAACAAATCATTGGGTATGCAGTGTTCTTTTCTTAGTATCATTATCATATTTTTCTCTTTTAATTATTGTTGTTCTTTAGCTCTGGTTTTACTTTTTAAGCAATTTTCATTCAAAGGTTCTTTAGGTCAACTGACAACCCCTGCAATGTTCAGCAGCTCCAATAGCAGCCAAAATAGCCTCATGGTCTGCTTAAGTTGGCCCCAGGTCCCATATCAGCAGGAACATTGGAGATACTAGACCTAACCACCAATACCGATGCTTTAAGGATGTGTTGGGTTTCACAGTTTTGTCTTGCATGCTACACCCCTAGAATTCACATTTCACATACATGGCACTATTTATGTAGCATACCTGGGTCAGCAGCTTGAAAGAATCAGGAAAACTGAAGACAGCATTTATTTCTGGTAAGCTCATAATTTTTATAATAAATACAATTTTGGAAATCAATTAGACAAAAGTAAAGTAAACTAATTTCTACCTGAAGCCAGAAAAAGATCTGATGGTAATAATAACAAAGAAGAAAATGTGGTAACTGTTTTAAATATAATAGCTTCAATGACGACTGTAAGAAAGCATTAACTTCATTAGTTATTGGTTGATGTTTCTTTCTTTTATCATTGAAAAGAAATACTTTACTTTTGTTGTGATTAAAGTGTTTATGAATGAGGTTATAAAAATGGTTAAGCTTGATCAATCAAAGAGGAGTTTGCTACAACATTGATTGTTTTTGGAGAAAGTTACCTTCTTCATTTTCTCTCTTTGAATAATTGCATAGAAAGGCTATACTACTCACCAAGTGATGGTGAGATTTGATTGATAGTATTTATTTGCGTCAAGTCGTTTACGACAGTAGTGAGATTTTGTTTGAGGAGAGAATGATCATTAGTGATCTGTTCTCATTTCCTCTGAACAACGGTCAAGAGTCTACTCCCTAGAGCTTGATGATGGTTTATCGTGATTTACGTAATCTTAGGCCCCGTTTGGCTGTCCATGATTTGTAATTTTGAGTTGAGATTTGGCAGGAGTTTGTGCAAAAACCTTACAGCTATTGTGTAAATGATTGCGCCGATTTCCGAACTTTTTTTTTTTTTTTTCCTCACGCGACATTTTTTTTTCCTCCGATCCTCGAAGCCCCGAGCCCGCCGGGTAAATTTGCAGGAGATTACCCACCGATTATCATGACCGACTCAGCCCGAAAAAAAAAATGTGTAACTTCGGCTGATCGGGTGAAATCGGGTGGTCTCACCCGGTGTGTGCTCCGCGGTACTTTGCACAGGCGGGGCTGGGCTTCGAGGATCGGGGCAAAAAAAAAAGTCGCGCGCAAGAAAAAAAAAAAAAAAGTTCAGAAATCAGCGCAATCATTTGCACAATAGCTGTATATCGTTTCATATCGCACGGTCCAAATCCCAGCCAAACTTAGCCAAATCTACATATAACTAAAAAAATAGCCTCAGAGGGCCAAACAAACCCAATTCATTTCTAACGCCGGCGTCGTTTTTTATTCATTTTTTGACACTTTTCTCATGCGGCTTCTAACGCCGGCGTCGATGTTAGGAAACAAACTCAATATGTATGCCAGCGGTCGCTTGAAGCAATCGCTGGAGCTGGAGACACCCGCTTGAAGCAATCGCTTGAGCTGGAGACACCAAAGCAACCTGAAGCAACCGCTTGAGCTGGAGACACCAAAGCACCAAAGCGACCACTTTGGAGGAGACACCAAAGCGACCACTTTGGAGGAGACACCAAAGCGACCACTTTGGAGGAGACACCAAAGCGACCGCTTTGGAGACAGTGGAGGAGACACCAAAGCGTCCACTTTGGAGACAGCAAACCAACTGCTGGAGACACCAAAGCGACCGCTTGAGCGACCGCTTTGGAGGATACACCAAAGCGACCGGATACACCAAAGCGACCGCTTTGGAGACAGCAAAGCAACTGCTTTGGAAAGCGGGCAGGAGAATTTTCAAAAGTATCTTTTGCAGGGCTTATATCTTGCAACCACAATACCTTGCAAAATTACCTAGCACCTGCCCGGCGAAGAAATTTCCAAGGCTTCTCTGACAATGAATGCCCCAGAAACTGAAGCCTCGGATTTTGTAGGGTGGATTTCTTTGTCTCAGGCACCTCAATGTACAGTTTTGCCTGCTTATATTTACACACTTTGGAACACAACAGCGCAATATGAAACACCTCCGTCTATTAATAGAAAAATCCAGTGGACTGGTGTTACGGGGCTGAGCAATGTGTCTCATGAACATGGTCAAAATCCATGTTCAGCTTGTGGGTGAGATTTTTCCCACCTATTCCGGGTATATCTGCACTACATCCACATATCCCCCCCTCTTTGGCCCAACTTCACCCTCTCCTACCATTGCCCACAGAACACCGGTTGCGCTTTTTTTAGCCAGCCTGACTCGCTAGCAAAATGTATAATCAAGAAGATCAATCTGAATATTCCAGCAACTATGATGAGCCCGATTGGGAATCGGATGAAGAAGATTCAGATGCCAATGGTGACCACATACCAGAGGAAACGGGAGTCCCAACTGGTCGTTTGGCCAATTGGGTATCGAATGAAGAAGATTCCGATGTCGATGGCCATCACATACCCAAGCGAATTGTAGTCCCAACTCGTCTTTCACGAGGGAAACCCAAGCCAAAGGAAATCGTCGCCAACTAGGAGGACAAAGGAGACGAAATTGACGATGTGACCGGCAAGAAAGTGTTTTTCCTGCCGACCGGCAATGAAGTCACCTTCATAGACCACGACTGCACTTTAGACTCGGAAGGTTACCCGCTTCTCCCAAACGGTAAAACCATCTTTGTCAAGCCGCCCGGAGTTGAAATCACAAATTGGGGTGAGGTCGGGTATACCAAGAAAGTTGGGACGGAGTTTCGCTCGAAAGGCCTATGGAAGCTCAGAAGAGTGAACTGCCTTGGCGTCATCCGTTGCGACCAGCCCGGATGTCGATGGGCAGGGTCGCCTCCTACCGGGCAGATTTGCATGAAGACTTGGTTGGAGAAGTCAGTTTTTTTTCCTCTTAGTTTGCAAATGCGGCTGTTGTTGACATGATTGGTTGAAGGCACCCTAAATGCCGAGGACTGAATGGCAAGTGTCCTGGTCAAGCAAGGCACGTCCCCTGCAAGAACACAATTGCCCGATTTGATACCAACACCGAAACTGGTTGGTCGATTCTCCGACATTACGGTACTCACAAGCACCCATGGCCGGAGGCAAAGAAACCCGACAAGCTCGCCAAAAAAAAACTCAAGGCCGAGATAGCGAAGAACCCCAAGGAGGGGGCTTTCTCCCTCAAGGTAAGCCGTCTGACCGCCCAACTTCCTCTCACGCAACGAGCTGATGTGCCTTCCCGCAGATTGGAAAGCCTAGCGCACCAAAGGATCCCTTTGACAGTGTGCTCAAGATACACCCGTCATTGGCCCATGCGGATCAACTGCGATATCATCGGAGGCAGATGCTGACGGACCTTGGGATTGTTCCTGGGAAAAAGGGGGCTAACATCGACGACAAGTTCCTGATTGATATGTTCCAATGGAACAAGTACGCAACAAGCTTGTCAAATCCATTTGAATTCCGCTGATTCAAATGGCCCTTCACAGATGCGGCTTGAGGATCATTTCGGCTGGATTCCAGGAGGATGCCGAGCACTTCACCTTCCAAACTGAGTGGATGGCCAAGCGACTTGTGGCTCGCGATATCGACCACAAGGTTTACAGCCAGGGCCTTGTGTCCGATGTCACATACCGTTTCTTCCTCAATGGATATCTTCTTTCGACCTCAATGTTTTGTGAAGAATTATCCAGATGGATTCCGGTCCAGCTCACTTGGATCCGTGGTCTATCCGAAAATTACTACAAAATCCACTTCGCAACGCTCTTTCGCCAGTTCTTGAAGCCTGATATCACCAAAGAGGAGCGTGATGTCCTTGTTTGTAACGTGGTGGACTTCTCGGCAGCCCAGAGGGAGGGGTTTGTGGAGGCTTACTGGGAAGTATTTGGGATATGTGATAAGAAGATAGTACTAGGGAAACTTCAAGGATGTCATGAGCATTTTTGGGCTCAAGTAACTCGGGTCAAGAAAAATCGTCACATCGTGATGCCCGATGAGGAGGTAAGTGGCAAATCCCATGTTCTACATCAATCGGCTTGCTGACCATCCATGGAATCCTTGCAGAATCTTTTTCAAAGCATGTTCCTGGCCCTTATCAAGGAACCAAAGAAAGACGATCCAACTCATGAAGAGAAGATCGATGAATTGCGCCGACGTTTCCCAAAGGCCCGGAAGTGGTTCGACTGGTGGACAATGGCCGACGTGGAGGCTATGCTCTTTCCAACCCGTCGGGCGCAAGAGGAGGATGGCCCCGAACGGAGTGGACAGCCGACTTTAACGACAAATGCGCAGGAGAGCCTCCATTGGCTCTACTACATGTTCAGGTACGTAGACTCACAGCTGAATCCCTAACAACCTTGCTTGCTGACACGAGTCTCTCTTCTGGCAGCGAGGGAAAGTTATGCCTGCAATTAGGGCTTGTTTGGCTCTTTTCTTTTGTGAAGACTTTGACGCTGTCATGCGCGGTGTCTCCATTGAGTACGGAGCAGCTCGGAAGGAGCAGATCAACATAGCACAATCGTTAGGATGGGAGAAAAAACGGAAGCGAGCGCCTAACCCTGCTGCACCGCCAAGCACAAATCAGATCCGCCATGAATGTGACAATG